TTGTACACTACTCCAGGTGCTGCCTCACCAACACCATGTATGATTTAGACTGCAAAAATACGCTGTAAATGATCAAATACAGTAATCTGACCATCAACAGCATCGAGCATGCTTTACATAAAAGAGGGATAAGGCTGTTACAGTCCAGGTAACGCTACCTACTTTGGGTTTTCCTTTTAGTTGTTTCTATCCTGTAATGATTGCTTGAATGGCCTAATTTGTTTTTGGAAAGGATATTTAATTTTCACTTTGTTGGTATGTGCTATAGCAGTTTTAAAAAGAAACATTTTTGTTTTAACATTCAATGTTTTTTTTCATGTCACATACTTTCCTCAGAGGTCAAAAATCACATGACACCAGGTTGTAGCCCAACAGGTTTATTTGAAAATGCAAGCTTTTGGAACTTGTGTTTTCAAGTAAACCTGTTTGACTATAACCTGGTGTCGTGTGATTTTTGACTTTGTCTACCCCAGTCCAACACCGGCACCTCCATATCATGGTTTCCTCAGAGAGAGAGAGCGCGTTGGAGACCAATTTGTGGGAATTAGCCAAAATCATGATACCTCCAGTGGTCTGTGCTCAGCATCTTCTACATAAATGTCCACCAGTGTTCAGATTTTTCGTGGAAGCCTTAGAGAGGTCCCCAGCATTGCAGATACCAGTCTTCAGCCAATTTGATTTATTCTGTGCAATGTCAAGAAATCATTGAAGGCACTGGATACTGCAAAAGCAATGGTTCCTGACAACATTTTGCAATAGGACTTGTGATCCAGAACTTGCCACATCCCTAGCCAAGCTGTTTCAGTACAGGTACCGAACGCTGACACCTGACAACGTGGAATGTTGCCCCAGTATGTCCTGTACACAAAAAGCAGGACAAATCCAACCTGGCCAGCTACCATTCCATCAGTCTACTCTCGATCATCAGTAAAGTGATGAAAGGTGCCATCAACAGTGCTGTCAAACAACACCTGCTCAGCAATAACCTGCTTACTAATGCCCATTGCATGCCGCGCAAATGAAAGATAATGGTCACCTCCAGAAGAGAAACCTTCCTTCACTGTTGCTGGGTCAAAAACATTGAACTCCCTCCCTAATAACATTGTGGGCCTACTGCAGTGGTTCAAGAAGGCAGCTCACCACCAGCTTCCCAAAGGCAATTAAGGACAGACTGTAAATGCTGCTGAGCCAGCAACACCCACATTATATGAGTGAATTTAAAAATAAATCCCTGTATGCTTGATGAAAATAATTACACCAAGACTGAGGGTGAGGTGCAGATAGGACAAGATGAGACAATTAGAAATTTGCAGTGATGGGAGAAGGTCACATACATTACTGCAAAAATGTTCAACAAATAACTGCCTGAATTTCTATTGCACTTTCATGCAGAAAAATGATCCAAGTGCTTTAAAAAAGCAAAAACAAACACTTAGTTCAGCTAAAGAGCAAGATGCTAAGATATTAATATTAGGAAACTAAGCAGCAATGCAGCACTCCCAAATGACAAAGCTCATGAATGTATTGTTGACTTTGAGAGCTACTGAGTATAATTTCTCAGACAATCACAAGAGCCTTGTCATTGGGAGTGCTGCTTCAGCCATTATTCCACATTAAAAGTGTGATATAAACACAGGTAGGTGTCATTGCTGTTTTACTTTGTCTCATTGCAGTGTTAGTAAAAGATCAAATACAATGTTTTGTTGGGTCTCATTCTGTACTACCTGTACCTGACTTCAGTCTGGTATTATCAGTTCCAACAAGCATAATGAGATCCCACAGAGATTCATTGGAAAGTTAGAGTCTAGCCCAGTGTCCAGTCAGTGGAATGTGTGTATGCCTTAGGGAAGAGGGGTGCACTGTAGGGAGCAGGCATACAAAGGAAATATGTTGTACTTGCTCAGTCTGGCTTACATGTGACTCTAGACTCACAGCAATGTGCTTGTCCCTTAACTGTCCTCTGAAAATGACCTAGCAAGACACTCAGTTCAAGGGGCAACTAGAGATGGGATATAAATGCTGACCCAGTCAACAATGCCAACAACCCTGAATGAAAAAGTCAAAAATGTGTGGCCACTCAACCTGCCTTTGGTGATGATCACCCTGGTATGATTGAACTGTTTATGGTGCTGCTGTTCAGGACTATTTCTGCTTCCCTCTATGTCAGGTCCAAACTCCATAGTCTGGTGCCACTTACATTTTAGCTACAGCTTCAGTGTGAAGCAAAACTATGATCAGATACAATAGAATGTGAATCTACAGCCTGCCATGCAAATGCAACACACTGGTACTCTTGCATCTTCCTTATTTATTTCTGGCAGCCATGAAGTAAGAGCAGATACTGCATCACTAATAAGTTGAGAATTATGGAAGATCCATTACAGACTGTCTAGCGTATTGGTTTTCAAATTAGTTTCTGGCATCTCTGAATGTTTCGTAGGGTCACCAGATTTGGATTTGAAAATATTGCATGTGGGGAACGCTGCATCTTGTAAATCAGCGTTCTACATTTTTCTACACTTATTAACTCATTTCTTGAGTCTGTTATCACAAGATGATTTAAATAATAAAAATATTTTCTGCCCTGTTAATGTAATTTCCCTTTGAGCAATTGCCTTTCAATAATGTGTCAGGAATTGGGGGTCTTTCTCATTGTGTAAAACAAGTGTAAAGTGAAATCAAAATAGCTGTGTCAGGCTCCTGTTCTCTCTAGTTCTCCATGTAAGAGTTTGATGCATTTTCCATGACGACAAAAAAAAATTGATCTCGTTCTATTCTATTGTTGCATATCCCAACTAAACCATAGGAAGTTTTAGGTCTCTTTAATAAAGGTAAAGTCGCCATTGTTCCAGGAAGCCCCATGGTGAGTTTAACTTGTGGATCACCACTCCTCAAGTGAGAGGAGACAGCTTTTAACGGTAACCTTAGCTGGTGCAGGAATTGAACCCATGCTATTGGCATTACTCTTCATTGCAAACCAACCATTCAATCTACTAAGCTAACTGACCTACAGTCACTATCATATAATAACACATAATTAAAACATAACATTAATATAAGAAATTGTTATTAATAATACTAACATAGTAATACAGTGCTGAAATCTAATGCTCATGGATTAATAACTGCCTGCCTATCAAACTCACTGGCCAGTGTCATGGAAGTCATGTTAGCATGGTATTTCAGCTATGCTGAATGGAGGTCAACATCTTAGTTATAAGAGGAGGATTATTATTAGGACTATTCAACAATATAAGTGACAATGACATAATGCAGAGATCTTGTTTCACACAACGCTAGGGCTTCACTTGGAATGTTTTCACTTAGATTTCATTAAAGGGAATGGTAAACAAGTTAAATCTTTATTTGTCCTTTCAACTGTGGAAATAATCTAGGTACAGTTATAAATGTTGGATTTGTACCTGAAATGAGTGTTTTGCATGAACAGCAGAAGAGTTTAGTGCTGATGATCTCGCATCTGCCACTGGAGGTGCAGTGAAGGGAGTCATTTGAGGCATCCATTCTGCACTTTTACCAAAACAGAAAGAGGAGTGCTTTTATTCCAAGCCTGTCTCAGACACCTTAAAACAATAACACCCCCAATGGCACTGTGGGTGTACTCATACCATGTGAAATCTTCAATAAAGCAACTCATCACCACCTTCTCAAAGACCAGTTAGGGCTGGGTAATAAATACTGACCTTGCTGGTAATGTCTGTGTCCTGTGAAACGATAAAACAACTGTAAAATCAAACACGGTGAAAAAAGATTGCTGCCAGCAGTGCTGTTGTGGTGTTGATTTGAGAGCATCGTGCAAGAAAGACGACTTTAAAATGCAGTGGCTTGGGTCTGATATTTTCTCCCTTTATCATCTTGATGGCAGTACACTAACTAAACTGGTGATATCACTGAATAAAAAGAACTATTGCATTAAAAAAAAACTTCATATCTATTTCTGGTCCTCATCTATTATTAAGGGCACTTCTATATTTAACTGGGTTTTGAGAGAGCAATGCTAGTCCTTCATTTGTGAGTCACTGTCCTTCCCTATCCATGGCTAGTATGTCACTATAGACTGGTCAGAGGTCTTTTAGAAAATGTAAATCCATTCGTCTAAACACATACATCCTAATAGTGCATGAACATATAAATTGTCTGGTCTACAGAGGCATGTACTGTACAGAGTTTGTGAATATATACTGTCCAGTGCCTCTGTTCTGGTGCAGGTCAATTGGAGGATGCCAGATTAGAAAGTGGAGAGTTAACTTCTGTTTCCAGATCTTAATTTTTTAAATTAACATCCTCTAATTGCCCTACACTAAGCCAGTGGAAGCTCTTATTGGCATATTTCTCTTCTGCTGTAATGGAAAGTCAATATTTCCTGTATTTAAAATAAAACACTGGCCTGGAGAGGACATGCATGGTGATGCAAGCCTGCACCCCAGCATAAGAACACTGAGGCACCAAATGAATTCAGGGCAATTAGCAGGTTATGTAGGGGGACAGGGAATCAGTGGTAGATCTGGAGACTGAGCAGAAAGTGGCTTGTCACTGTTCCTGGCTAAATAGAAGCAAGTTAATTGTAAATGTCATTGCACTACAAGAGCTGCAAAGTTAAAGGAAGTAATTAAGAGGATTACTTCTGCGAATATTTAAGACACAACTTGATATGGAAGAGTAAAAATCAGAAAATTGCAATTAAGTTATGACATGGGAACATGGATACAAGGTGTTGAAAGGCAAATGATGCAAATCATCTCAATGTGATGCCAACAAAATGTAACCTAAAGGTGCAAGAAATTTTTCACTGCAAGCCTAATACACAAGGTGGATTGTTTAATCAGGTCTTATCTACATTGTGGTAGGTTTCTGAATCTTTTATCAGTGTAAATTATAAATCATCCTTCAACCATGAGAATGAAGAATTGAAAGCTTCATTAGATGAAGGATAAACTTTGAGAAGTCTCAGTGGTCTTACCTTTCTCATGTCTTGATTGCAGCATGTATGTTCTTTACTTGTCCAAGCCTGTCGACTTGTCCAGTTGAACCAGGAACACCTAGTAAACAAAATGTGTCAACTCATCCACCATTTGCTTAACCGCTTACAGGTGGGTACCTGAAAAAAAGCTCTGCTAATTATAATCCTGTTTTTTTGCATTTAACTGGCTTATAATTCCCTGCCAACTACTCTCTTTTCAAACATGTATTCTCCAATACATTGAACTAACTGAAGACAAATTTTAAAATCTATTTGTTTCATTAGAAATCTAGTAAATGCCCGTATTATTCAGTGAATAGTAGCGAATGGAATGGTTATAATTATCCAAGGTTGTGAAGCAATATGTTTGGCTCTTGTTGTCAGTGATAGTGTCCCTACCACTGTGCCAGGAGGTCCAGATTCAAGTCCCAGCTGTGCCAGAGAGCTGTCACAACATTCCTGAACAGGTTGATTTAAAAAAAAACCCTTAACTAACTGAGTGGCAGAACAAGCTCAAGGAGCTAAATAGTCGAGTCCTTTTCCTGTGATAGGAAATGGAGTTAGAGTATCATGATGGGTTAGTTGGTAAGTAGATAGCATTGGGGAACTAAGCCATCTGACGAACAACATCATAGATTCAATCTCCTCTGTGGACTTGAATCGGCTAGAGTGATTGCAGAAGTTTAACATTAAAGTCTGAACTCAGAAGAAGAGGAAAAAGAAATTGCTGTTATGAGCCCTGGTGGAAAGTGTGTGAGGATGTTGAGTAGGACATGATGGGGCTTTGCTGTGGTGCCACTTGCCTTTCCCATCCCCAACAGATTGTGCTTGAAATATAGCCATTTGATAAAAGTATCTACTTAGCAGGATATCTGCAAAACCATATTCCAATGCTCAGAAGTACTTCAAATAGAAGTTATAAGGTTAGTTCTAAGATGAAAAATTTTAATATTGGAATCTGGGAACAACTATTACAACTAAACAAATAGGTTCCACTACTTTATCTTAATGCCACTTACCTGCTTTGATTCCATATTCTTTGAAATCCTGTTATGCTCCAGAATACTATTTGGAGCAGGATGGAACTGGAACAAATCTTTATACATTTCATCAGCACTTACTTATAGAACTACACATTACCCTGACCCAATAACCAATGTTTTGGCAAGTGAATCCTAGTCAATGATAATAATTACAGGTGTGTTATGAAGAAAAGGCATGAAAGTGGAGTTCGGGATTACCAGATCAGCCATGATGGCCTACTTCTGCTCCTACATCTTATGATCTAAATTACATAAATAATGTAGCCCTTGCCTAATAAAATATCTCTCAGTCTCAATTTTGAATTTTAATTGACCACTTGCTCTAATATCTATATTGGGAATGAGTTTCAGATTTCCATTACATTTTATGTGAATAAGTGTTTCCTGACTTTATCCCTGAATGATCTAGCTCTAATTTTCCAATTTTGAGGTTATGCTACCTCCTTCTGGATTCCCTAAGGAGAGGAAATAATTCCTCTCTATATACCCTATTGAGTCATCTTAAGAGCTCCAATTAGATTACTCATGAATCTTCTACACTAAAGGGTTTCAAGCCTAATCTTTGCAGCCTGTCTTCCTTACTTAACCTCTGTTCACATGGTATTATTGTTGTGAAACTGAGCAGTGTTCCTTCTAAGATCAGTATGTCCTTCCTGATGCATGGTGCCCAAAACTGAACTCAGTACTTCAGAACTTCATACAACTGTAGTATTGTAGCTTTCTCTATGTACTCCAGTCCTGTTGCGATTGTACCTGTCCAGTAGCCGTTAGTGATTTCTGAACACTGATCCCTAAACCTCTGAGCTACTCCATGGTTTCTGGTTGCTTACAGTATAGAAAATACTGAGATCTATTTTTCCAAAGAAAGTGACCTCACATTTCCCTTCATTAAGCTCCATCTGTCACAGCCTATCCACTCATTTAATCTGTCAATTAATCTTACTGCTTTATCTTCATTCTTTACTGTGCCACCTCACTTGGTATTGTTAGCAAACTTAGATGGACAGTTCTCTATTTCTTTTATTTAAGTCACTGATAAATACAGTGACAAGCTGAGGCCCCAGTACAGCACGCTGGGGGATATCAGTCATATCCTGTCAATTGGAGTACATACTCATTATCCCTTCTCTCTGTTTCCTGACTCGTAAGCAATTCTCCAACTTTGTCAAGAAGTTGGCTCCAAAGCTGCACACTTTCATTTGTGTGAGCGTCTCTTGTTTAGATTCTTATCAATCGCTTCTGGAGCTCAATATAAAATAATCGTGGACACTCCCTTATAAGCCTTGTTAGCAAACTAATCAAAACGAATTAACTAACCTAGTTCGCTATTTATTTACATTGAAATAATCCTCCACAAATCACTAGAGTTTTCTCTGATCAGTTCGTCTTCATCCAAGTGATAAGGATAACTGGAGAACAGCAGTCAGGAAGGACATCTCCCCACAGGGGAGATCCATAGGCTTTTTGTTTGCTTGAATTGGCTGTTGTGACATTGAATGTTCTAACTATACGAGGGCAGTGCAAAATATTCCCTACTAGCTTGTGAAAGGAAAGTAGAGAAATATTTTAAGACTTCTCTTTTTAAAGGTACAGAGTGAAGATTACATGACTCGTTCTTCTAGAGAGCCACTGTTAGCAATGGGTGGCCAGCTGGTCTGTTTTCAGTGGAGTTCTGTGAGGGAGGAATGTTGGTTGAGACATTTGGAGAATTCATTTGTTTTGTTGCGTCCCAAGGTGACAGTGGATGAACAGAGTTTGGACCTTCTACTCTCCTACTGCATCCGAGCACTGCAGCAGTGCAACTGCTGGACTCATGTGGAAATATTGCAGGCAGTGGCTGCTCTTGTCTACAGTAATGGGCCACGATGCCAAAAGGTACGTTTTGTTTTCTTATTTTTTCAAAAGGGAAATGTTGTGTTGCAGGCCATCTTGGCTGGTTATGACAATGTGGAACAGAGCCACGCAGACAGTGAAAAATGCAAATTTGATCTCTGGTCTGAGTCATAGAGTGATAGTGTTTTTAACAGCAAGGAAAGAGGCTCGTTGGTCATCTATCTATTCTAATCCCATTATCCAGCACAAGGCCTGTAACCTTTTACGCTGTGACATTCCAAGTGGCCATCTTAAAAACTTCCTAAATGTCTTGAGGATTTGTGCCTCCACCACCCTTTTAGGCAGTTTTCCTCTAAATTTTCTGATCTTTACTTTAAAACTCTGCCCCTGGTTATTGACCCATCTATGAAGGGGAAGGATTTCTCCCTGTCTGTGCCTGTCATAAATGTGTACACCTCAGTCAGGCCTTCTCTACTCTTAGAAAAGAACACCAGTCATCTAGTCTGTCTTCTCAGCTAAATTGCTCCAAACAAGGCAACATGCTGATGAATCTCCTTTGCAATCTCTCTAGTGGAAGCACAGACTTCCTATGTGAAAAAAGAACTAAATTACTGCGGATGCTGTGAATCCGAAACAAAGACAAAAATTGCTGGAAAAGCTCAGCAGGTTTGGCAGCATCTGTGGAGAGAAATCAGAGTTAATATTTCAGGTCGAATGACCCTTCCTCAAGGTCCTCGGGAAATGGAAAAATAAATTGGAAATGCTGAAAATCTGCAGTAAAACCAGAAAATTACAGAAATATCAAAATCTGAAGGAGTAAAAAAGGTCAGATCAGTGTTTCAGGCAGAGGCCTTTAATCTGAAATGGACCTAATTGTAGATAGCTATAAGTCTCCTGACATTGTCATATTGTATGAAGTGAAATAAGGTGGAACCTCTGTCTGCTGGTAGATTTCCATGGTGACATTGTTCCAAACTGTAGGGACGTTGCTGTCTAACTAAAAAGGACAGGTTCCTAGGTCTTTAGCACTGCGAAGGCAGCAGAAACTGGGAGCAGCATTCCTGTTGTCTGAAAGGGGAAACCATTTCAGATCAATCGGATTATTTTCACCATCCCACTTCTTCAGGGGAGAGAAATGTTGTGATATTGCAGATCTCCACATGCATTTTGTGGCTGGTCCCATAGGGGTGTGGCCTGATAGTACTCCCAAAGAAACCATGCAAATTCTCCAGGACACCTCCACTGCCCCCCCCGACCACCACCCCACACTACTGCCAGACCATAACAAGGGACAGGGCAAGATGTACTCTTGCTCCCAGCTTGGATTCTCTTCACAAACTAACGGGAGCAGGAACTTAGTGAAACTGGATTTTGCCCCAGATTCTGCCATGAGTCTTGGCATAGTCCTTTCCTCATACCCTTCAGGGAAGCTTCTTTCTACTGACACATCTGGCTAAAGTGACAACCTGACCTTATCCCTTGCAAACACTGACAGATCTACACTACTGCCTCTTTCCTGCGTTTCTGGTTTCATATGCAGTTTGAAGTGCGTTTTCTTTTTGTTTTTCAACATGACGTGGAGAGGCATGCAGTTCACTTGATTCAGTTCATTTGAGATGTGTTTTCATCCAGTTCCTTCCAGACCTGCTGGGGAAAGAAGGAATCTTACTTCAGCTTAGTGCACCAACCCAGCCAGATGTGGACCTGCGAAGGGCTGCGGTGTATTGCATGGCCAATCTCTGTCTTGGGTAAGCTTTCAATTATAATTTGGCACAGGTTTGTTCATAATTTAGCAAATATTGAAACTTCAATTTCCTCACTGATTGGTGTCATTTTAGGAAATGGGGAGATACGAGAGGGTTTAAGATTTAGAGGAGTTCATCTTCAAAGCCACCAACAAAACGTTTCCCTGGTAGGCTGGCAGTATGTGAATTAGTAGCAAGATGAAATAGCTTGTTCACTAATTGGAATGCACTGCTCTGTACTGTTAAAATGCAATATTCCATCTCATAGTTAAGTTGGAGAATTGTTTGATGACAAAAGAATTGTAGGTTTTACAGTTTCTGGGCATGACAATGCAATTTTGTCTTTTTCAATTAAATTATTAACTCACTTTTTATAATTCTCTTCATGGGATGTGGGTGTCGCTAATAAATGTAACAACAGTTTTGTTTGTTGTCCATCCCTAATCACATTTTGAACTGAATGACTTGTTAGGCCATTTCAGAGAACTGTTAAGAGTTGACTACGTTGCTGTGCATCTGGACTCTCATTTAGACTAAGGATTGTAGATTTCCTTCCTTAAAGAGCATTAGTGACAATGGGTGGGTTTTTGTGACATTGATGATAGTTTCACGTTGCCATGACTGAAACTAGTTTTCAGTTCCAGATTTCATGTGGACATCACTGACAAGGTCAGCATTAAGTGCCCGCCGCTAATTGGCCTTGGAAAGGTGTTGGTGAGCGGTAATCTTGAACTGCTGTCTATATAGTGTAGATACTCTGACAGTTTTTGTTTGGGAGGAACTTCCTGGGTTTTGACCCAGTGGTGATGAAGGCGTCTCGAAATATTTCCAAATCAAGATGGTATGAGATGTTTAGAAACAGCAGTTTTCCTGAGCACCTACTACTTTTGTCCTTCTGGGTGGCAGAGATCACTGATTTGGAAGGTGCTGTGAAAGAAGCCTTGGCAAGTTAGGCTGGGCGTCTGACAGACTGTTACAAACAATGACCAAGTCAAGGCAATGGTGGAAGGAGGTTTGACCGGTATGCTTTGTGTTGATCGGGGTTAGAAAATACGTTTATTGCGATCAATATTGATTTTTGTTCCTTAAACATTTTGTTGAGACCAGAGAGTGCTCACTCTCCTGTGACCACCATCATCTGACACACATTAGAAACACCTTTCAAGGCTGAGGGACCACAGGCCCTGGGGTTCATGGCAGCTGGCCATAGTAGCAAATCTGGCAGATTTATCTCTGGTGTCGTGCATTTGCACCCATGTTGTTGGTAGCACAAGCATAGTATAAAAATACGTTAAACCATTCTCCTACTTTAGGAAGGGCTGAATAAATTTACACTTTGTGGACTTCCATAGGTTTATTATAAACTGAGAATGTGTATCTGTGATAGATGTCAGCTTTGAACGATGTCAGCTGATAATGCAAATATTGCAGTAAAATTTTAAAGGATTATTTCAATTTCTTGCTGATAGTGTGCCTGGACAGCCATACTTGGACGAACAGTACAAAACTGTGGCTCTACAGACCTTTCTCATTGTGATGCGGAACCCAAGGACTCCTGATGTTGATGATGTCACCGTATGCAAGGTAAATAACAAAGGGTGATGGTACAATTATTTTTAATCACAATGCAAGTTTGGCTGCTGTTGCTAAGTAGCTAATTGCTGGGAAGTTCATTTAAATAACCAGGTCAAAAGTCACCAGGTTATTAGTCAGAGATAGTAGGAACTGCAGATGCTGGAGAATCTGAGACAACAAGGTGCAGGGCTGGATGAACACAGCAGGCCAAGCAGCATCATAGGAGCAGAAAGGCTGACGTTTCGGGCCTAGACCCTTCATCACGCACCTGAAGAAGGAGCGAGACTCTGAAAGCTTGGGTCTTCAAATAAACCTGTTGGACTAATAACTGGTGTTGTGTGATTGTTGATTTTAAATAACCAGAGTATCTTGCCCTTTATTTGTCTTTTCCTTTTCAGTAGAGTATTACCTGGCCATCAATTAGCACAACAGCAAAATTGTGGGGTCAAATCCTGCTTCAGACTCTTGAGCACATGATCCGAGCTGATAAACCCAGTACAGCTGCACTGTTTGGAGATGCTATCTGTCTGATGAATTGTTAAACAGAGACTTTGATTGACCTAAGATAACAAGATGTAGAGCTGGATGAACACAGCAGGCCA